CATTTATCACAGATATTTTTATCCTTTCGGCAACTAAGCAGGCCGGTTCGCTCTTAAAGAACGATGACTAATATATTACATATTACATGCATATCGTTGGACAAAATTCGTCCGGATTTATGATCAATTCGGCCATATTTTTCGCTTCGTTGACTATCTTCACTTCGCACTCGTAGCCACTGTCGTTCTCTCACGTGATCGGGGTCACATTTGCGCCGCAAGGATATATGGACTAGCACGGGGCTGGCTTTTAACGAACCCCAGTTTGAAATTACGACCTTTACGTTCGGCAAACAATTGAACTTCCGAGTAAACTAAACGTCGTCCGAAAGTATCGAAATTTTTGCGGTGCAAAGGCGTGGCGAGAGAAAGTCTCTCCATCTTTTCTTTCATCTTCGGTGAGTAGACGCGTGTTTATGGTACACGTTTTGTTAAAACTTGTGAATTCCGTGACAAGTTAGCCGCCGAAAGTGTCGCGAATGGAGACCAACCACGAACATCTGAAACTTCCGTTTTGTTCAATTTACCGTTGCAGCTAAAAATAAAGTTTGCAAACTGGAATAATATTCTGCATTTAATTAACTGTATTTAATTAACAGATAAGAACCTATAGATTATGTTTTAAACGAAATTAACATTTTTGGCATTCTCTATTCTTAAAATAATTACGCAACTGAATTTGATTATTATGCAATTATATTGTATTAATTTCGACAACTTGTTTGCGATTCCTTGAAACTGTAGGTAGTTCAAGAAAATAGCGAAGCTTTAAAAGATAGGTGTATCTCGACGCGGCATATAAAAGCAGTTTTACACAAAAAAATGGATATAGATAGTCAAGAGAATCACAATGATCCTCAATTTGTAAAAGTACTAGAAACCTGTTTGAAAATGGAAATTGACACGCTTAAGAAAAGTCTTGACGGTAAGTAAAGTATGGCATAGAATTCTGTCCAATGCAAAATATAAAAGTCAAATAAAAAAAAGTAATCTCCTTACAATTATTTGTTTATTCGTTCTTAAAATTTTTTGTATTATTGTTCGCTAAGAAAAAGGTATTGTTAATTATTTTTAGACAATATAAAGGAAATAAAAGAACACAAAAGGATAATACATAATGAAATTAATAAAAGAAAACAGCTTAAGGAAAAAGTGACGCAGATGAATAAAGTCAAATTGATATTAAGCGAGACTTTAACAAAGTATAATTATTCATTCTTATTATATCAATCATTTTGTATTACATTCTTCTTAAGTTCCCATATTGTAATTTCATCATGTTATGTAGATTATATACAAGCATTAGCGAAAGCTCGGACACTTTAGAACTTGTGAAAGCGAATGCTGATGACCAATACAAACTAATGCAAATAAGATCGCAAGAATATCAAGACATTGTTGACGAATACAAGAAAACATGGCAGGAGTATCGTGTGAGTAAACAAATATTGATACAGTTCACTCGCGATCGTATATAATTTCAAAATTTAAATAAATGATTTATAAGCAGGCTACATATGAAGAATTTCCATTGGCAAAAGTTAGAAAGGAGGCTCAGATAAAGTTACAAAAACTTAAAGTCGAGTATATGATTGTGGCATATAAGAAAAAAGAAACGCTAACAATTATTAAGCAAAGGCGAGAAATCAGCTGGATTTGCACGCGCAATAAGATAATTGAATTCGCCACCGTGATGTTGGAACATATGAAATTGCAGAAAGAACTTGCGAATGTGAACGAGGACCTGAATTATCACAGAAAAGAATTACAATCGATCGAAAAGGAGGTTGCTAGACTATAGTAATTCATTATTTAATATATATGTATATACGGACATAAATCTAATTTGTTTACTTTTGTAGCTGCAAGCATTACGCAAAAAAGAGGAGGATCAAAAAAGACAGAGAAAACAGAAAATGTTGGAAATGCCACCACCGAAGATCAATATACCGTATCGAGAAATGTACGCTCAAAACCAAATGCGCGCGAAAGTGCAGCATCAATGGAAGCAGGTTCACGAGTCTCTTGATGGTGAAAATTCATTTTATACCTTACAGCTTCTAGATAGGACAAGGACCTTTACTCACGGACATGCATATGCATATTATATATTATAGTCATTTCAGATACCATGTCCGTCAATACTTTGTTCCTAGAAGAATTATGCATAAATGAGAATACTACAGGATTACCTGAGGACGTGGACATGATGACGACGAAGATGAAAGATGACAATTACAAACATACAGCTACCGAAATGGAGATATCTAAAATCTATTCTAAAAATATTTCGGAAACAATTCCAAAAGTGATTTCCGAAAAAAGTGATACGCGTGCCACTCCAGCGCCGGATGGAGAGCTAAATGTTGAAAAAGCAGCTTTAACGGACGATGACATAGAAATGAAAGAGAGCCATCAGGAAGAGACACAGAAGTCGCAAGAGTCGCAAGAGTCCGTTAAAATCACGCAACCACGCTGCTTCCCTACAAAAGGAAGCCCCCTCAAGCATAGGGCTACCAAGAATGCACAGGACGAAGTTGAAGCAAAAAGAATCCGACTTCAAAAGGAGGAGAGTATTAATAAAATAACTATTCCTCAGCCGTCGACTATTATTAAAGAAATGGATTTGAAATCTTCGTTTCGATCGATTCCGAAAATTAAAAAAATAGAATCGGTACACTATAATATTACGCCATTAATGCCGATATCAAAACCCGTTCAGCATTCGACTGCCGCAAGTAGTATGTTTTCTCCGATGCATTACGAATATTGCGAGAGCAATGTGAGTTCTTTTGATCAGGACTTTACGTCAAAAGGTTGTAATTTTAATTAAACTGTTTTCAATTTTTTTTTCTAATGAACAGTAAGTAAGATTTATAATCAACTAATTATAGGTCTACGAGGACATTCCTCATTTTATGAGGAATCATTGAGTAATTATAAATTATCTCCAACTTCTAATATGTCGTTAATGTATGTTGATGAGGACACGCAGATGCATTCTTCTCCAAAATACGTTGCGCAACAGGATGATAAAATTGAGTCTGATGACAAGACATCACGTATTAATTTTCTTATCTCAAATATTCGACAATTAATTGTTACAATTAATTGTTTAATTTTAGAATTCTTTAATGTGTTTTTTTTATTTTTGCTTTTTTCAGCATTCCAGTTTAATTTTATAGAAAAGGCAAAAGGGGGTGACTTATTTTGAAGAAAGAAGATTCATTTTTCACTTCAACAAAAGAAAATAACTTCAACTATTTGATTCTTATATATCAATGTCATTTCAATAACATTACAAATTTTTAATATACATTACAAATTTACGTAATTACATATAAATTAAGTTCTGTTATATTACACACTAATTAAACAAATTACTTTTATTATTATGTTTCTAATTCTAATAACAATGGTCTTAAATTAATATAATTTGTGTATCTAAAAGAACATGTGCTCGAATTTTCATGTGTTACTTTGAGATATTCCTTGAGGTAGGTTGGATAGATTATCGTGCAAGTGAAAGATTAACAATGTCTATGTACTTGTGCAAAGCTAACAACGATTATATACTCCGAAATAATTTCGGATTCTTACAAGAAGTTAAATGGCTAATATGCATTCTGCATACGGGTTCATCTTCACCGGTTCTTCGCGCAGATATCAATGGCAACAACTTTGCGGCGTGTATTAAATAAATGCTTGCTCACTGAGTCGCGATTATGTACTCTCTCTGCAAGTTTCGGCCGTCTTTATGCGTATATATATATATATATATATATATATATATATATATATATATCGTGTTCCGCAATTTCGGCTCCCGCAATTTCACGAGAGAGCACCGAGCGAGTTACAGCCGTTTACTTCCGCCGGGAGAAACAGAATCGTAAGAGAAATAAGACAGAAGGGAGAAAGGACCTCTCATATTCCTCCTGTCTACAGGTAGTGGAAAAAAGAGGAGCTCTCGGCTTTTACAAAAATAAGCTCGTTAAAATCCTACTTTCTGCACACGCTTTGCGGAACATTGTGACTTGTGTGTAATCATCACCGCGGATAATGAACGATAATATCCCGCAATGCTTTACAAGCTTTTTAATTACTTCTGAAATTCTTATTACGTTTTCCGTTTAATGCTCCTGTAAAGTTTTGTTTTGTAAGAAACAGAAGCGAATTTTAGAAACGAGAAAGGAGAAATGGAATATTTACAATTAATAAATTGTATTATATTTTTATATATACGTACTCAATTACATTATTAGATTTCACATCTCGTATATCTATTTTCACTTTTAAATTGCACAAACAACAGGTAACTTGTCTCGTGTAATAAAAATTGTCTTCCATTCAAGCTTGCACGATTTGAAAAATTATTGTTGCATGCGATGTCCAATTAAGGAAACAAAGAAATGAAAAAAGAAGATCCCAGCACGGAAATTATCAGTTAGATGGACGCGTAAGCAATCTTTCTTCGATAATTGGTAGAAAAAGTATTAAGCACGCAATATGAGGAGTAACTTCTTAATCCGCTTCTTCGCTGTGCTCCTCAGGCTTAATCGGATCAGCCACTGTAATTGATATAAATTAACCCGCTCGCTCGAGCGTTTCATCTGTGTCGCGAGGAAGAAGAATACGAAAGTTTGTTATTACCTGTCGTAACTTTGGCGAGCTACCTTTCCACGAGGATCCGAGGCTTATAGTCAAGAGAAATTGTGTCCTTTTGTAAGCCAATGTAACGGTGGGAGGCCGACTATCAAGCTATTTTATTTCGAAAGTTTCGCATTGAGAAACGAGAAAGATAAATGGGGCATTTAATGGCGCAATCGTCGTACCGACGTCTTCCGTCTTTCCGTGCGAGAGGACTTTAATCGATAATGTCATTCAGAAAATTTTTATGTTAATCAAGTCGCACTTCGAGTAATCGTCTTTTTATTATTCGCGAAATTATTGCGATTTGAACAGTACGTTCTAAATTTTATGTATCTCACGTGATTTATCTCCGACGTGACATTTCGCATATTATACGTAAGTAAAAAATTAAAATTAAAATGAAATTGTTACGAGATTGTTAGAATAGAATAATTACGTAAACTAGATTTAATTATTATGATCCATAAATATACAACCCTAGAATTGTAACTCTTCTCGTCCGATTACGACGTCACACCAAAGCATCGCGGTTTCTTTTTTTGCAGGGCGATTTTTTTCAGTCCAATGCTTAGTTTTGCGGATACGTGACTAGAATATCTCGTTTGTACCTCGATACGAGCAGGAGATAACTCGCAATGTTCTTCAGACAACCCTTTCCACTTCCAGCGAAACTCCAGCGTTACTCAACTGAAAGTGGGAATTTCGTACGTTCGTAATGTACATTTATTAATTCTGCGCATGTCGCGTATATTTTGTCAACTAGGAGAACTTACTTCCTGCAATCGAATGTTCTTACACCAATGAACGCATTTATGTATTGCACCCCGTTCTTGCGCCGCAGGTGGTAATTTAGGTTAATTACTCTCTGCACGAGTTAATGGTGTCTTTATAACTTGTTTAAGGTTTACTGCCGGGGTTGTGCATAATGCTATATATGTCAGTTAACGCAAATGAGCGATGAGATTTATGAATAGTATACAAAATAATTGTCCTTCTTAAATGTCTCCTACAATAATGTCATTTTTAAAATAATGAGCCCATGCTAAAACTTTGCACTTTTGTTCCATATTCAAATAAAAAAACACTCATTTATCATAAATAAATAAAGCTAATATAATAAATTGAAATTTTAAAAATATATCGTATGAAAATTGCATGTCTTCTAAGTAAAGATTTCAAAATCAGGGAATCTTTTGTTCCGGCAATTCGAAAGTGCAGTTTTTAATTTACTCTTACAGCGTTATTGTTTCATAAACGCAGCTCGGGAAAGCCCCTAACGTCGATCAACGGAACGTTTCGAAGCGACGACGCGAGCGAAATCAGAAACGTATTTCCATTTCGCGTCCGCGGCAAGGAGTCCATTGTCGCTCGTGCAAATAAAGGAATGTCCACGTAGCCAGAAGTAATTTCCTGCCCGCATCGTGTCGCTTATACACGCACCGTGTATAAACGCATCTCGTAACTTGGGTTAATTACGCCAAGTATATACGTGATGCTGGATTTTGGAAAGGGTTGCTTGGCTGGTTGGCTGGTTGGTTGGTTGGTTGGTTGGTTGGCTGGCTGGTTGCTTTTGCACGAAGTGCCACCGAGGTGAAAGGGGAATATACAAGGCCGGGGTATCCCATCGTGCACGCGGGGGATTTAGGCAAAAACCCCTGGTAGATTAAACGACTACGACGTCGCTGATGGCCTCGCCGGAGCATTCAGTAAATTCCGGCAGCCATGGAAACGACCGTCGTGTATTTTGGCGAGCGTTTTACTACGTGCACGTGGCGAGGGGTAGTTTTCTTAGGGTAAAGAGCCGGTCGAGGATTTACTCGGGGATGCCGTACGCATCTGCTTAAATTGTAATTGACAGTCGGACGTAATTCTAGTAAGGCAAACTGTACAATAAGCGATAACTGTACGGCAAGGCGAAAATTTGATTAAATCACTTCCCTTTAGCAACTAAATTTAGATTAAATGCTTTAGTTACAAAGCGTTAATAAGACGCTTGCGTTTATACATCGCGAGCTGAATCCACCCGATGTTCTTGTTGTTGTAAACAAGTTTCAGAAAATGTAATATCAAGATAGAATATACGGTTTTTTAATCTTGTTTTTATAAACTTTAAAAATATTTATGGTTTCCCCCCAGAATTTTGAAGTCAACGTGAATTTAACTTAGTGCAATTAATATTTAAATAATGACTTACACAAATCGCAAATGATCGCTAATTTAAACATTTAAGCATTTAAATTTCGATAAACAGACGTGACAGTTGGTGCCTTTATATGCCGAAAAAGAAAAGTAAATCGCGCGAAATTAGATGATGCCTAGAAAAGGTGGACACGTATATGTACATACGACTAAAGGACGAACTCGTTTTTTGCCACCAAATTGCCCGCTCGAACTGCTCTATTTTATCACGATCTGTCGATAACAGGCAGGTCTGACTAAGGGGAGTATCCCTTGTCTTTTACGTATAGAATCATCTCGTTGGGCACGTCGTAGATTTTCGCGAAATAAAGTGGCTGCTCACCAACTCACCGCACGTTCGACTTTTCTATTGTATAATGATAAACTATTACGATGAACAATCTTATTTTCTTAAACTTATAATACTACTAATTCCGCGGAGTCCATAGGATAATTGCACACAAACACAGTTACATGCAAATAAATCCGATTAAAAATTGTTTGATTTGATATGCATGCATATGACACAAAGTATCTTTAAATGAATATTTTCTGAATCATTTTATGAATCATTTACGTCAACTGGAAAAAACGATGTCACAGCTTTCGATCTGTTACAGTCAATTTATTTCAACGTAAAGAACGTTGCGTTAAAATGACAGAAACATTTCAATCTATCCAAATGTACATGTCTATTGACACATTTTTCAATCTTTTTTTCATTCATTGTAAAGTAACGAAAGCGGTTATTTGAACAAAATATTTATCGATATATATTTATTATTAACCTTCACGTATTATTGAAGAAAAAGATTTTATCACTAAAATATTTCTTTATTTTTCTCATATTTCTCATATTTCATAAAATTATAATTGATTCGTGTTAAATTGTTACGATACAAATAGAACCATACGTGGAAGTACAAAACACATTTATTTCACTTCATCATTAACGATTTACGAATTTTTATTTTTATAAAGTACCTGGGAAACATTTGGAACAAGAGATATAAATTGTTGCTACAAATATGATTCCAGACATTTGTACAACGATAAATGGATAATTTGCAAATAAAAAACTCCAGATTTCATCTTTTATATAAAAGCTTTTGTTTGCCTTCAAATATTCATTGGGAGTTGATTTTACTATAACTGTGAAAACAACGTGTTCACTTTCTAAACAATCTCGCCTATTATTATATATATGATAGATAACTCTAACTCTATTATATTTGTTTCAAATTTACCATATTATGTTTAATATTGAAAATTCTACGGTTAAATATTTATGAATACATGACACGTTGCATGAAATATCACGTTCTCGTCAGTGTCTTTCTTTGAACGCTGTGTTGTAATATCACTTCTGTTGCAACATCGCTGGAATTTCATTCTGTTTTTGTACGTTGCGAAGCATCGACTGGTTCGTGCGTGGAAGAAAGCAGAGAGAGATCGGCGTTTCTAACGAAGTAGAAATTCCTGCGCGCGCCCCACTTTTGCCGCAATTGCAACAAGGCACGTTTCGAAGCGGGTATTGGAGCTACCTGCCAGAGAACAATGAAGGGATCAATTACCGTCCTGGAACACCTCCGCATTGGGAAACTGAGACCAAAATACTCGCGCGAATAGGTTGCGAGTTAGAAACGGACGTTTGATCCGCGATTCGGCCGTTCGCCCTCTCGCAAATTGGATTACGTTCACGGCGAAAAACATTTAATTAAAGTATAGAGGGGGATAAATTGTTATTGCAAATACAATTTTATTTACGAACCGTTAATATGAATCGCAGCCATCATATATATATGAAGATAAAAAAATGACGTAACGTACATTAATTTTTCTCTTCATTAAATCTTAAATTATTTAAATAAATCAAGGAACTTGTCGAACTTTTTTTTACTTGCTCACCTTTAAGTGTTTTATCGTTTTAAAATTTATGTAAATTTTTAACGTTTGGTATAACAAAGGCATTTCAAAAGATCGTAAAAATCGTAAAGATTTAATGCTTTAATCTCGGATTTCACTTCGACTAATTTCAACAACGATCTTCGATCCGTTCGTTACGCCGCCGCGCTTTCTGCGTTAGCTCGTCAAGTGGATATGCATTTGTCGGCGCATTAAAAGCTTCCTTTCAAGCCTTCTGTAAGCGGCAAAAGTTTTACTCACGCGAGCATGGACGCGTCTCGTCGCTCCCATCTCCGCAATCGTCGACAACGTTGCAGACTTTGTTGAGGGCGACGCAGTGCCCGTTGGCGCACTGAAATTCACTCTGCCGGCAAGAAAGCACCGTCGTTGCCGTGAGGATGCAGGTGCAAACGAGCCAATGCATGTCTGAAACAAGTGATGTCTCTTGTTATTATGGGAAGAATCATTTTTCGCGATTGTAACGCTGAATTTTCCATGCAACTTTGGAACGAGTTATAGCCACCAGTCAATGCAATTAAAATATCCTTATTTGTGTAAAAATTTATGAAAACTTCAAACTAAATTTTTTGTGTCTTAATATTTAATTATTAAATATTTATACTATAATATAATGCATAAAATTACATAAAGAAAATTACATTTTTTAAAAATTTCATTTCATTTCAAAGTTTCATTCGTAAAAAATTCAAAAAGTCTACTTTTAAGAATGTGATTTGTCAGACATTTTTTATTAAATAATTCTTTTATATAACAATATTTGTTTGCACCAAGAGTACATAATGGTATTTGAATTTTGTGAGTAAATAACGAGCAAACCAAAGGATTAAAATCAATCAGTAAAATGAAAATATATTTACGCATGGAATCGATAAAAAAAATCACAGAAAATCTATAAAACTATTTTGTCACACAAATCATATGTATTGTTTCATATTGCGACTTGAAACAATATTTGAAATAATTTATTATCAATTTCGAAAATAAAACAACTTTTGTTTTCTCCTAATTCTTTTTTACAAGATAACTCTAAAAATTTATGGTTATATAATAATTAAAAAATTCTATTAATTTCACATAACAACATTACAAAGAGATAAATAAAAAGGATAAATAAAAAATGACTTTGCTTATTAAATTCAACTAGTATTACGAGGATTCGAGTATCGCGCCCGGCTTTTGGAATTAACAGAATTGCTACCACTAACGTAAAAATATTATTGTTGCGGTGATGATAAAGTTTCGTAACAATGTGAACGCGCAACTTCGTTCTCGAAGTTAAATCGAACAGGAACACGAAGAATATCGGGCCACGTTCTCTCGATTTCCGGCGTCGCCTGAAAGCGTCGACGTCGTTCACCCAATTGAAGCGAAACTTTCGCTATTCTCGACTCCCCGACGTAACCCCTATCGCGGTCTTTGTTTTTTCCCTTAAAACTGGTAAAACTGAGGTTAAGTCTAGCACGGTAGCTGACCAACTAATTACGGTATCACAGGAGTGAATTCTACACATCCGCTTAAACTGTAACCATTAGTTTCTGTAAACATATAATGAAAAAAAAAATCTAAAATCATGTTAAAAATTATTTAAGCTATATTAAAAAGAAAAGTATTTACTTTAATAAATTATAAAAAAAGCGTTAATATAACAACATTTATTTAAAAATCTAAAATTTCCTTATATACGACCATAAAAATATATATACGATAATGTTTTTACTAACTTTCTATTTCGTAAATATAAAGTAGTTTCAAAAGATGTAATATCCTCATATTACATTGGCAAGTCTTTATCATCATGAGCTATGATAGTCTGCGTATATTCTATCATGTACTTCGTATCCCGAAGTCTGTACGATGACGTTATAATCTTATCTCGAGCAGATGAGATGAAGAGACATGCATTTTTCTCTTCGCTCAATCGGATGCGTAGCCAATCTCCACCGCCACAAAGAGAAAATTCAAGTGCGAGATAAGAAAGGAACGCTTCGGTATTCATGGAATTACGAAGACTAAAGCGAAGGGAAATCAGACAGACAAGCAGGGAAAAAGTAAGTTATTGCGGCGCTATGGTATACATTCTCACTTCCTCCTTGTCTTGTCGCTCGAAAGTTACGCTGAATAAGTTTAAATGTAAGAAAATATGCAGAGCCGTCCCTGGAAGAAAGCGGGAAAGTTACGCGAATGTCGCCTGTAAAAAGACGACCCATCGCTCGCTTCGACTTCGATGCCTTTGAATACTTTATATCATCTTTGCATTAAAATCATAAGAATTTAACATAATATAATGCGGATTATCTGACATAAATTTAATATTTTATCAGCTTTCTTCATTTATATCAACAATTTTTGCGACGTCATATTCGAGAAAATGTGTATAAACGTATTAAATTCTAATTTTTTGATATTTTAAAGATTAAAAAAAAGTACAAAATTATGTTTTATGAAAAATTGAAATTTTTAAATTAACTATATAAAAGTACGACTTTCTATTATTATTTAATATATTTCTTTATCTAATCTTCAGGTTAAAAGTTTTCAAATATCTTCCTTTATGATGGAAGAGGCGGTAAACATTTTTCATAAAATCCAAACGGTCTCTTATTGAAACTGTCATCTCGACTCTAAGTCGAGATTATTACTTTCGAGTTTCGTGAGTTTATATCACACATGTCACCGACTTTACGTCAAATGCTATATAAGGAGAGAAAGACAGGAAATTCTCAAGATATCTTCGAGACATTGCATCGAATATTCAAGCGTTTAATGCGGGATTCAAGCTTCCGCTGTGTCATCCCATGTCTTCGCACATTATAGCTTTTTTATCCTTTTAGCCTCCAATTTCGCGAACAAATTTTACGTGACACAAGGCATCCTGCCATCCTTCTTGTTCTGAATTTCTACAATTTCTAGCAAATTCCTCTATAAATACTTCTCGTCAGAACTTTAGACAAAATTAATCTCTTAATGGCATGCGCGTACGCAGATAATACAAATATATTTAACAACGGAAACTGTAGAGTTGTTAGGCAATCCATTAGATTAAATTTCGGATTGTTATTATCATCGTAAATTCTAGTAAACACATGTATTATGTATTGCAACGGAGATAAACAATTTTTTTCTATATATAGAAAGAAAGTTCTTCTAAATATAATATTCAATATTTTAAGATATAAAAATACATAGCGGTAGAAAATCTATTTGGATTAATATTAATTGTATAATAATAATGCTCTAGAGAATACATAACATTGAAGCATAAAATATTTTTATATTACTTTTGCAAGGAACAGTCGTGTTATCGTCTCAGAGAACTTGCATCTATTTGATCTCATTAACGATCTATTTAACTGATGCAATGTACGCGTGTTCGATGATGTTTATTGACTTTGATTCAATTAACCACAGAGACGAGACGAATCAATTAACCGCGACCTTAAGAGTAAGTTAGCGGTAATTAATGATTGACATGCTATCCGCACTAGATATATATAGATATAGATATAGTATGATTAATTTTTAATGATTATTTTTATTAATTAAAATATAAGCTTATTGATTAACTCATCTATTAGATAATTTACTAGATTTTTTTTACTCATTTTAAAAGTTTTTTCTTACCGAGAGAAAGGATAAAAATAAATACGGAAATGTTATTCACGAAATAGAATTTATTCGACACGTAAATGTAATGTTGTCCATTCGATTTCATTGTTTTTGCTTTTCACAGAAAAATCTATGGTCGTATAATTTACATAAACAGCGGGTTACTATCGTGACTGTTTCAACGATGAGGATCCGACAAGGGATGGGAAATGAAAATTGTTAATTTCCAAAAGCAATTAATTGCGTTTTTCGAACAGCATTCGATAATAATAATTTGTAAAATTAAATGTGACAAGTCATTAAATTATTTAATGTTTTTTAATATACTTATTTAATATAACTTAAATATAACTTTAATATAACTTAATTTAAATATTTTTTCTCATATTAATTAATAATTAACATTTATCAATATATGCAAGATTTTATATGTTAAATATGTATTAAATATATATATTTTAAATAAATATACATTATATGCTATACAATAAATTTTTTTTAATGTGACCTAAAAGTTTATTTCGAATCTACTCTAATACAATTTCTTAAAAATGTTTATTTTGCTTAAAAATAGTGAAAAAACAACGATATATTAACAATGATTCGATTTTTTTTTATTTCACGTCTTATGCCTTAAGTATAACAAAAGTCTTAAAATATATCTGAAAATATATCTATTATATATTAATATTATAGAAAAAAATGGATAAATCCGAACAAGATAAATAGATCAAATAAAAATGTAAATCGTTTTGTTTATAACATTATACATTTTATAAGAACGAATGTTCATAAATTATAATTTAGAAAATAAATTGGAAAATAAAATAATTGGAAAATAAAATCTTTATGATTTTAATTATATTGCGGGTAGTATATTTATTGGACATACTGTCTGGCTTAAAGCCTATCGCGAGAACCGTGAAAAACCCTTGTCTACGAGGCAACATTAAGCCGATTTAGTCACTACTGAGGAAAGTGGTTACTTAAATTTAAGCTTTTGAGTACCGCTATGATTTAATTACCGTCTTATACCTTTAAACATTTAGTTGCGTGCCATTGTAATTCTTTTTTCTAATCTTTCTTAAATACATATACAATACACAAGTAAACTAATATACTAATACATATAGACTGACAAGTATTTAGTAATGTTTAGATTTTTTTTAACAGAATTTACATATAATTATTTTTAAAATGTTGGTGGGTGATAAAGTTAATTTAATTTTTTTGACATAAAAAAATTTGAAGCAAAATCGTTAATGTTTAGAAGAGATAATTTCCTTTGCGTTTTAGCCACTCATAAAATTTATATCATAAAATTTATCCTAATTGGCGTTTCGGTGTTGCTGTCACAGTATACTCAATTTCCAATTAAAATCAGATTCGAGCGATAAATTCACAATACGTGGTTACAGGAAGACTGTATCGTGAGTATTGTGCGCGTTTCAATTATAATACGGTGAAATTCAGATTGTCATCAAGCAAAATTACTAACCGCTCCAGCGCATAACCCACACACCTGAATACACAATGGCTTTTTGGAAACTTCCCCCAGGTACAACTGCAGGCCGAACTTCATCAAAGTTCTCTTCCGCCGACGTCGAATATAATATCGCGTGTCGTGAATGCACGCGCACATACGTATATTCGTGTCTAATGTCACGTCCGGGTCTATATGCCTATGTATATGTCAGTAGTCGTCGAAACTTCAAGCTAAAAGCACCATCTCTCGAACAGAAGCTCCCGCCATTATGATCGCCGCCTTTCAAATTCAAATGACATTCGGATTGTGTGGA